ACATCTAAAAGTTTCCAAATACTGTATATTGAATTATTTGGTGTTTCCAAGTTGTCCAAGTTCGTGCAGGTTTCCATATGTGTGGGAGAGAGAGAGAGAGATCTCCACAGTCATGTTGTCTTTTTCCTTTGACATTTCTTATTTATGGACAAAAGTATACCAATCATTTATGATTATGTAAAGACTGGATTTTTCTCGTGTTTATACATAATATTTAGGCTATTATGTAAAAATAAAAAATAAAATTTTAACATACCTTCTTCAATGAAAGCCAATTTATTTTTTTGGTATATACGCGACCAAAAATTTTTTTCTAAATATAATAATAAATAAAAAATGTCAAAAAATTTTTTTTTCTAACTAGAGTGGCGATAGCCACCACCATCCTTACGATAAACACTTATCTGGTGACATCTTCCCAGGAATTTTCTTTTTATTTTCTTATTTTCTTGCTTACGGCAGCAGAAATTTTTTTTTTATTAAATTTTTAATATTAAAGAAAATTTATTTATTGGCACTTGGTGTTGCACAGATTTTTTTTTGTTGACACGATAGATTTTTTTTTTCTTGGAAAAACAATTTAGATGCCAAAACACACGAGTGTTGTTATTTGGTTCTGAAGATGTGTTAATAACTAACCAGAGGCACTATTTTTTACTTGTATTGATATTTTTATAAATATTTTAATTGGAATCTATAAAATCTTTATCAACAACGAATGATTGGTATTTTGCTTTTCGTAATTGTTAATAATATTAATATTACTATAATTTAACTACAAGATGTCAAGGCAACACACTGTTGAAAAAGAAACATTTCAATATGTGACGTTTGAGTATCGGAAATTGGCAGTTGTTGAGCATGCATGCTACCTTGAACACTTTACAGTCATTCTCACATCTTCCTCGTGTACATAAGGCTAAACTGACTGGTGTGCTCCGGATGATACATTGGTGTTGTTAAATTTTCAGGGGGAGGGCGTGGCTCTGGAGTTTACCAAAACTGCATCATTGTCAAGATATTTTCACTAACCTCACCCAGACCAGAGAAGGCTGCCAACATGTTAGACAAAAAATTTCCTGCAACAATCCTACCTCTAGGGTAAAAACAACAACCCAGGTTGCAACTTCCGAGTTGCAGAATTTTCAAGCCAGTCTTAACACCAACTTTATTCTAGTGAGTGAGGGGTATAACACAAAGTGATCATCACACAAATGTCAACTCTCATCAGCAATCAATGCTCCATATGGAAACAGCCAAACCTGGTCTGAGTGGGAGATAAGGGAAGTTTTGTCCAAAGCCTTCCAGCATTGGGGGCTTTACCTGTGGAAAAAAATCCATAGTTATGAGGTGTGCGAAAGCACTCAACCAATGTTTGTGATAGGAAATTTAACTAAATCTGACACCTGTGATCAATATCAGATTTATTATTCATAAGGAACTACAATTGATAATAATTTATTATTGTGAATCCCAGAGACCTGGGTAGACACGCATTATTAAAAGTTTCATTTTTGCATGGCTTTTGTATTATTACTACTTGGGTGATGCAATTGTTTGTTATGTCAATGATGATATCAAATGTATTGAATAATAATCATGACTATCATGAATATTTGATGGATGGAGGCATTCACATACAAGGAAATGATTAAATAGCTAAGTCATGTTTATTTTGTTAAAGACACATGATTAATTATATTTAAAATATACAATAAAAAAATTGCAAGATTGCACCACTGTGTCAATCAAACTATTAAGCTGTTATGTTTATGCATGATTTAAAATTCTTTTGTGCTAATTTAGTGTCCCATATTTCTTTGCTTATATATAATCTATTGGTTCTCTTTTTTTACTGATTAAATGATGCCAAATTGGGTAATGGGGTATTCAGCAAATATCATAATCTGATTATTCTTTAAAAAAATAATTTTGGTATTAGCATACTGATAAGTTAATAATATTCTTAGTATTTTTATCATATAGTCTAAAAGCCTACTAGTAAATGTTGAAAGTGCCAATATTTATTAGATATCCTTTTAAAATTAATTCTTTTTTCAGTTAATTATTGGCTTAGTTTAATAAACCAATAACTCTTTTATATTGTAATTAAATTATTGGTTAAAGCTTTTTGTGTTAAAATAATATCATAATCTTGAGCAGTAGTTAGCTTTCTATTCAAATAAGGTTTACTCGAATAAAACAAACAATTTGGTAAAAAATGACTCGAATAAAATGAATAATAATAATTCGAATTAAACGAATTAAACGAATTAAAACGAATTAAACGAATTAAACGTACAGTCATAGCTCGTTAAGACAATGCTTTGATAAACCGATGTTGTTTTATTATTTACCTATCAAATTACCTCAATAAGCCGATTTTATTAAATCGAAGTTTTTTTTTTTTTGAAAATATTGACTTCAGTTTAACGAGGAAAAGAAGATCAGGACAAAAGATTTTTTTTTTTTTAACAATTGAAATTCATAAATAACTTTGATTCACATGAGGGTTCTTTGTAAAGGATCTTTTGTTAAATTATTAAATTTGTGATAATTTTCCTTTGTATGTGTAATTTTTTTTAATAAATTTTTCTCAACGCGAATGTTGATACCTCGAACAAATATATAGATAGAATGTAACATGTAAAGCCAAATAATACATAGAATGTCATTTTGGCACTACGTGTCTCAACTCTCGAATTCGAATGCAACGTAAAAAGCAAAACCAATGCACTGTTTTTTTGGTCCACAAGTGGGGGATAGCGGGTCTATTTATATATTTTTTGTTTTAATTTATTAGACTACTCGATCAATGCACCATCTGGCCATGAGATAGTCTATTTTTATTTCATTGATCATGAATAAATAAATAAATTTATGCAAATAAATCAATAATTATTATTTGTCAATCATATCCAAATCATATATACTACAATGCAATTTCTTAAATAGGAATAATTAGGTAAATTCTTGCTCCTAATAAAAAAATGAAGGTATTTTTTTCTTACACAGAAAATAACTATTTTAAAAATATGTGGTATTTTTTTACATCATGATTTAATATTTTGCTTTATAATAAAATAATACTTAGCTAAATTCTTTAAAGGTAAATAAATATTTTACAACACAAAATAAACATCATCTAATTAAATAATTTGTTTTTTTATTTCTTTATAATAACCAGGGGGTAAGTATTATTTTGAAGTTTATGGTAAGAGAGCATCAAAGGAATCAATTCCTCTTTAGAATTCATTTGCTCTGATTGCTCATAATAAAACTCAAGGCTCGACACTGCCACATGTGATATTGAACGTCGACGAAAGCATGTTTGCTGGAGGACAAGTGTATGTTGCAACGAGTCGAGCTCCCTCATTGGAGAAACTGCAGATCCTTTGATTTGATTATTCTCAAATAAAAATTTTCAGGGCGGCTTTAGAAGAGCATAAAAGATTAGAGGCTGTGAGCATTGATCGGTTGCGAAAATTAACAACGTTCTAAATAATTAATTACGATGGATACACAAATTCGCTCAAAATATTAAAATCTTGTTTAAGTTTACGTATATCATTATTGTTTTACAATTATGTGACATTACCTCATTGTAAAAAAAAAAACATATTAGGAAATTTCTATGTATGAATAAAAATTTTACTTTGCAATCAGGAAGGAAAAATAATTTTTACTTGAAGTTTCATTTTGCGTAATTTTAGTATTATTATTATTATTACTTTGACGATGCAATTTATTTATTTATTAATCCTTTATAAATTAGAGATTGGAACTGGCTAAAAAAACCTTAACTGGTTAATTAATTATATAAAAATTTTTCTTTAAAATATTTATTTTGTCAAAAAATTTAAGCGGAAAATAAAAATTACATTATTCCATGTTTTACAAAAAATGTGGGATTTAATAATTTACTGAATTACAATGCTCCAAAGGCTTCGATGAGTAGTAAATCAATTTAGTTGTAACTCTCGACCCTCTTACATTCGTTTATCTATAATGTGGATGTGACTTCACTTCACCTACTGAAACAAAAAATTACAATTAAAGCGGGACGTTTTGTCATTTTAAATTTCTACAAAAAAAACCGATTCAGGTTTCTGACCACTAATTAATTTTCCTATCAATTAATTAAGAATGATCTGCATATTATTTAAAGATACGAGATCAAAACCGTCAATTAGATCAAAAAAATTAGTTACACGAATAAAACTTAATTCAAAAGAAACCCTTTGTTTCATTTTTCTTCCAATAAGCAAATAGGGCCAGATACTTTCACCAATTATAATCTTTAAAAACAGGTTCAGTCAAATGACCTCGGAGACGGTTTTTCTGGAAAAAGTCCCATATATCATCAGACATGACATGATACTCGGAGCATGCAAAGTAAGATTTATATTTGATTATTCAAATAATAATAATAATAACAATAATGTATAATTATCTCTAAATTTATTTTCTTGTAGGATATCAATTTCTTTAATTTGACGACTCCAATAAAATGAATCATATATGTGCGTCTAAATTGTTTTATATAGGATGTGTTTAAAGTCAAAATAAACGCCTAGTAAACAAAAGATCTTTAAGAAATCTAAGACGCATTATTTAATCAAATTTAAATATCTGTGTATGTAACAGTCGAATTAGACAGACATTGTTTGTTTTTTTTTTCGTAAAAGTCAACATAAACACAAGAAATTAAGAAATGTGAATTTAATTTTTCTGTTTTTTTTATTTTTTAAAAATGACAGGCAAAAATGTAAAAAAGAAAGAAAGAAAAGTAAAAGAAGGTGGATATAACAAAAATCCGTGCGGAAAATGCAAAAAGAGAAGACAGAAATGTAAACTTTCATGCCCCGGACGTAAAAATAACAGTTCTGAATTCGGTAATAATTTATAAATATAAATATAAATATAATTTTTTGCGATTATTGAATATTTCTAATTAGCATCAATTATATTTTATTTTTTAAAAAAAAAAAGATGAAGAAATGAAAAGCCATGTTTTAAATGGCAAAAAAAACATGTGTTTTTCAAAATCTGCATCTACAAATGGAACTGGAGATGTATTCCAAGGATATCCAACCGATTTTGGAAAAGGATATTCCTATTCTGAGAACAATCTATCAAGTGAAGATTTTCTACAGGATACCTTTATTTATCAAATGATGGAAGGAATTACGATTCCATGTATTTCAAACGAAGTTTTTCTAAAGGATACCTTTACTTATCAAATGATAAAAGGAATTGACATTCCATATAATTCAATTCCGTGGTTCAAATTTGATATCGAATTTAATAATTCATAGAATTATATATAAAAATTATTTATTATATGTATTTTTTAATAAAAAATGTATTTACTTATTATTACAAAAGTGTTGAGGGCGGAACATATCAAATAAACTTATTGATAATTGCAATATAACAACTAGAATGAGAATTTTCATTAAAGATTATGATGGCAACTATTGGAAGACTAATATATTAATGTGTAAAAAATCCAATTATTATTACTATTTGTTTTTTTATTGACTATTGTACTAAGATTAATATATAAATATTCCTGGTGACGTATCTACTGGCGGAATTTGGAATTGGGACAAGGACAACGATTTATCTCAGCTTGCACCAGGATTGGTATTTTTTTTGATTTTTTTCTAGACAAAAATCAAATATTCTCTGAATTTTTGAAATTCATGATATAATTTGTCATGCCACACGTTGCAAAAATAATTATAACTTTTTCTTATTAATTACAGAATAATCAGATTAGAAAAAAATATCATATTTGCATGTTATGTTGATATTTGGAATATTCATAGCTGTCTTCATGCATACACATCCCCAACTTCGATTGTATTTACATTGTCGGCAAGTAAAGATTTGTCTTTCCTCACTATAATTTCATTAATCCTTATTTCCTTATAATATAAAGATTATTAAAAATAAATAAATCGTATGAAGTCTTTAATCAAATAATATTTATTTGCAAGTTTTTTATTA